AGAAAATATATATTTTAAGTAAATATATCTGAAAGCAAAGGGAGAAGAATAAACTGAAGTATTCTCTTGATTGCTATGAGTAATACATTTGAATTCAGATGACATTGTCTGCATCTCTTTAGGCAGTTCGTATCCTTCAGGATGATGTTGCGTGTGACATCATTAAGATAGGCTCTCTGGTGAGGAAGAGAGAGACTTTTATAAAAAGAAGAGCACGGCTGCTTGGGCCAAAAGGATCTACTCTGAAGGTATTTCCTAGAGGCGTAGTAACCACACAATACTGAGACCCAAATTTGTGTCATGTCTTCATATTATACTAATTTCTTTTCATTTTTGGTGTAGGCCCTGGAACTGTTAACAAACTGTTATATTATGGTGCAAGGCAACACTGTTTCAGCTCTTGGACCCTTTAGTGGCCTAAAAGAGGTAAGATGAGGTAGATGAGCCATTTGTGTAGCAAACAAATTTCTGTGCCCAGCTCAAGGGTGGGTGAGACACAAAATCGGGCAACCTCAGCAGTATCTCACTGACTTTTCAGCTGTGTGTTAGTAAGCTACATTTGCATGAATGTCCACAGTATTATCTTAGCTGCTGAATTTTGTTTAGACTCCAAGATCTTTCTGTCTTGAAGAAAAATTATCTGTATATATTTTAATAACTATATGGGAGAAGAATGCTTGTCAAAAGCAAGTTCCTCACGACACCATAAGATCCATGGTAACATGAAAATAATATTTGTGGGGCCTGCTGGAGTCTATTAGAAGCATGACAATAGTATTGGCATTTTTGAACTTCCTTCCAATTAACCCTATGCTTTAGCTTCTTAAAGACTGGAATCAATGATCTTGGAGATCTTCTCCATCCTTAATGTTTCTGTAATTTTAAATGTTACTACTTTGGGGTGGCAGAGGAAGCACAGTATGTTATAGCTGATATTTTAATTGATTAGCATATGAAGTGCTTGATAAGCTTTCTGTTCTCCTTCTTTTGTACTCAATACAGGTCAGAAAAGTTGTTCTGGACACAATGAAGAATATACATCCCATATATAACATCAAGGTTAGCATGGTCCACTGCATGTTTGTTTACAATAAAATGCGATTTCTTCCCAGAGGGTTGTATATTAAAAAGTTACATGTTTCTGTGTGGTAATCTATTTTGAGAATTTCTGTAGTGTGCTGCTTTATAAAAACCACTGACTTTGATATCCTTTATTTTACTAGGATACGTTGCCATAAGACCATAATGGCCGTATCTACAAAATCAAAGGAAAATTTCTCTTTGATTGTTGGCTTGATACTTGCTCATTTAAACTGAAGCACCTTCTCCTGTGTATTCTGTCCCTGTTTTGAGATGTGTTTCTGATTCTGTTCATAATTAAGCCCCTCTGCTCTTACTGAAGTGAGATGTGCAAGGTTTGAATGTAGCATATTTCCTCTAAGAAAGTCTAGTAAAATTCTGTTTTGGATCTCTTGGCTTCTACTGTAATACCCTTTTTTTAATAACTTCTTTGTGATGTTCTGAAACTACTGAAGACTTTGATGATCAAAAGGGAATTAGCAAAAGATCCTGAACTGAGGACACAAAGTTGGGAAAGATTTTTGCCTAAATTCAAGCGGAAGAACTTGAAAAAACGCAAGGAGCCCAAGAAGAAAAATACTAAGAAGGAGTACACACCGTTCCCACCTCCACAGCCAGAAAGCCAGGTCAGTTGAATCTTTATTTGGTTATGTAGGAATATAGCACACCTGAAATTGTGTTCTTTGTAAAAAGAGGTGGGGAGGCCTTTTCTGTCATGTTCTGATTCCCTGATACTACAGGTCTGGCTTATAATGCCTAATTAACTGAGGCTTCTTGCTGCTTGTCTTACACAGATTGATAAAGAATTGGCAAGTGGTGAATACTTCTTGAAAGAAAGACAGAAGAAACGCAAGCAAATGGAAGAGATAAAGGTAAAGTTGTATCAATCCAGGGTCCAGTTAAAAAGCATTTGATTGCTGACTTGGAATCTGATTTTTTTTTTTCCTTTTTTGCCCTGCTCTGTTGCTGCTTGACTTTTTATTGGTACCTTCAGGCAAAGCAAGCAGATGCAGTCAAGAGAAGACAAGAAGAAAGAAATAAAGCTTTTATCCCACCAAAGGAAAAGCCAGCTGTGAAAACAAAGAAAGGTGACCATTTTTTTTCCTGTTGTAAAATCTTCTGTTGTCAATTTCTAAGCTGAGTGATTTTGTAAATACAGCCTAGGAAAAAAAAAGATCATGCAAAAAAAATGCTGGTTTTAAGATCCATGCCCAGAGATTGCCAGGGACAGTAGAAAGATCGTCTAGCCAATAATTTTATGCCTATAAAATTGTAATTCTCCATTGAAGAGTCAGTCTCAATTGGTTGTTTGAGCTTCATAAATTTTTGCCTTTCAGTTTTACAGTGATGCTGCCATAACTTTTACATTCAAGTAAACAGAAAGCAATACTTAGTTGAAAAACTTACAGCACAACTTTGGTACAAGATAGAGTAAATAGTTGTAACCTTTTCTAATAGTTCTAACTTTTTGTAAAGGTTAAAGTAAAACCACACTATCTGCAGAGTAAGAGCTTATGTTCTCAAATGTTTTATTTTTTTAACTGGAGAAACAACAATCTTTGTATTTCTTACTGTGTAGCCACCACTGAGAAAAAGATTGATATTGAAGCAATCAAAGAAAAGGTAAAGAATGCGAAGAAGAAGAAATTAGGAGCGCTTCCTGAGGAAGAAGTAAAGTTAAAAATGGCAGCAGATGAAAAGAAAAAAAAGAAAAAGAAGTAATTCACCACCCAAGATGTTTACTTGTCACCTCTGATAATGAACATTTTTACGCTCTGAAGATGGGAGATTTTTTGCTGTCAGTATAATGTGGACAAGAAAAGACTAAGTAAATGATCATTCTCTTTTCCTAAGTACAGTTTAATTAGAGGACCTACAATAGCTGTACAAGCTTGGCGAGGTTGGTGAAGAAAATCTGTGCTACTGTGTTGTTTGATGTAGTAAGAGAATGTATTTGGATAATACGCATCTGTCTAAAGGAGGAGTTTAATGTGGAGTGTTAAACATTTGGGCCAGGTAACTCTGGGAAGGTTAAAGCTCAAGGTAATTCTGTAAAAGACTACCAGACAATATGCAGCCTCAAGTTGTGGTGATAACTTTTGCTAAGCAGGCAAGATTTATTACTATATAATGCTTTTATTTTTGTAAAAGCTGATTTTTTTTGTGTGTGTCTTGTCTCAATGTTAATAAACTATTTTAATACAATGTTCTGAAACCTTAGTTAATCTACTGCACAGCCTTCATTGTGTTGTCCAGGAAACCACTGATAAACTGTCATTTATTAGCATTATCGTGATGGGTTTTTACACAGAATATGGTACAAAGCAAGTGTCTTTACATAGGGATTGTGCTGCAGGGAAAGCAAAAAGTTGTGTTATTTACCTTTAAATATATTCATAGTTTAGTTCTTCTTGCAAGAATGTCTTAAAAAATTGCGTTCCTAGGTGGTTTTTTTTTTTGGCACTTGCCCTGTTTTAAAGGAAGTTTAGAGGTTTTTCAATTTCCTGAAACTGTGAAATGTGATGAAATAAAGTGCACCAGCAGAGCAGATCTTGCTTATTTCATAGGTCTGGAATTAAAGAAACAAATGTATTGAGGGGGAGATAGAGCCACACTAATGTTATGATTCTGAGTGCCTTTGCTAGGGTTCTGGAAGGATGCAGCTCAATGCCTTTTAGTGACCTTTTATTTGAAACTAGTAGGTGAAAACACATCCTTTTTTTTTGTTTGATAGATGCCACATTGTAAAGTTTGGGTGTTTAATCCCCCTATGCCCACAGGTTTTTAAGGGAAGGTCTTTCATAGGATTTCCCAAGAGCTGCTTAGGTATATAGTTAAATGAAACTGTTAACATTTTGAACTTTCAGGACTCTGCATTGCTTCTGTTTCTTCTCCTGGAGACCACACCTAATGAAGCAGGAGAGAACTCCTGCGGAGCTCATTTTAAGCTCCCCGGACACAGCAGCTTATTTTGTTCTCTTTCCTGCCTTCCTCTTTCCAGCAGTAGTCCACTAACCCACATGGGGGGCAGAGACTGTCCTGCAAAGTCTGCTGTGGAGCCCTGTGCAGGAGGAGTACCCACACATTGCGTTCTGCTGCCCAGGTGCCCCTTGTCAGCTGATTTTTAGTTGGGACTTTGCAGTACATGGAACTTGAGGCCTGGGTTTCACACAAGAGTGTCTGTGAGTGTGCTGTCTTGGCTGTGGAGGCTCCAGCAGTCACCAAAGACGTGTATATATATATAAAGATATATCAAGCATGAAATTCATAATTTTGTCCCCAGATATATTTGCATTTTGAAAAATTATTTATTCAAGGAATGTTGTGATATTGAAATGATTCTAGTATAAGAGTACTAGCAGATAATGACCTGGAAGTGTAATGTGAGAAATGTTGGGTCCCAGTTCCAGTGTTTTCAGTTAAAATCCATGCCAGTAGTAAGGTCAGGGTCAGGAGTAGGCATGCAGAAACAGTGACAGGTATTGTGGCGACAGTACTGCAGAAGTGAAGGGGTGAAGGGAACTTCCCCCACAGCAGTGTGTGCAGAGGGACAGGGTGCAGAAGCTTCTAAAAGTAGACGGATTGCTGTGGTCCAGCTGTGAGTTTGTGCAGCTCTGCTGCTTCCAGACTCTGCTGGAGCTGGGTGACTGTGGTTGGTAGAGGACATACTGAGCTGAAGGCAGCAGCTGTCCCCACAGCCTTCTGCCTGCTCCAGATGTGCAGGTTCCAGGAGATTTGTTCTTTGGCAGCTGTTGAACCAAACTAGTAACTGTGGGCACAGCGTGATTTTATTTGGAGTTCTATGTTTCCCAGTATTGTTTCTAGTGTTGTGCAAGTTGGAGCTGAATCCGGGTTTATTTTGTGCACCAGCAGTTAAGCTTTAGGTCATGTTGCAAATTCATGACTGCCATACACAGGAATCAGGAAATAACAATTTATTGTTTGAAACAGCAGTAAAACCCCTATACTGAAAAAAATAAAAAACCACAACAGGAAAGATTGCAGTGATACATAACCATGTAAACAGAGGTGAAACTGTTTAGGCACAGATGCCATGAGTTTAAAAACAATTTCTGAGCAAAGCAAAGTACTAATGGCAAGTGCGCTGTGAGACTGGGAAGTGCGCTGCCTGCCCCAGGATGCAAATGCCAGAGTTCACAGGGATCCAAAAATTCCTTTAAAAAAATTAAATTATACAGGCCACTCTGCATCTTGCTGTAGGAGTGCCCAAGGTAAGAGTGCAATAGGAATGAGACAGGTGCATACTCTGCCTGTGCTTTGGCTGTGGGCTGGGGCCTGACTCTGGGGCTGGACACTCTCCAGCCCTTCCTAAAGTGTGTTGGGCAGCTGCCTGCACCTTAGTGTGCTGCCTGGACAATGTGCCCCCATACCCGCCAGATCACATGCACACTGCTCCACTTTAAAAATACTTTAACTTTTTAACTTTTAAAACAATTTTAACATCTAAATCTATTTTAAGTTTTAACTGTTTCTGAGTAATGAGAAAGAAATGTTCACAATGCTTATCAGTGCTTGTAACTACAACCTGCAATGAAGGTGTTATTTCTGTACTTGTAAATCACATTGCAAACAATGTCTCTATCGATGTTTGTGCTGCCTGTAATTTATATGAATGGAAGAGATGAATTGAGCCAAGTGCTCTTGTGGTCTTCTACATGTGTGCTACCCACTGACAGGTACTAGAGACCAATATTTTGGTAAGAGCCAGGCGGCCACAAATGTCAGTATAAAGAGTATTAATCTTAAAGCAATAATGGAGATGCAGAACTCATCACACGAGGGCCTGTCCCACTCTGGCTGCCACCTGGTATTCTCTGTAAACAAAACAATTCACTTGTTTTCAAGTATAAATGCAACAAGGGCAACAAAAGGAAACAATAATTCCAATGGTACTTACCAACTACTTTGTCACGCTCTTCATTTTCTGGAGAGAGAAAAGAAGTAAACAGAAGCACACTTATAATTTAGAAACAATTTGACTCTAACCAAAAGGTAATGAAATGTGAGCATCACAATGGGCTTATAAATACAGCTGATGTGTTTCTTCTCAGGAAAAAGCAAAGACCTGCTGACTCTGGGAGAGCCCTGCAGTGACTCTCAGGACTTGGGTGAGGAGTGGTTTATCACACTTTTTTGACTTCTATCACCAGTGGCTGGTGTAGAAAGGACTCCCCCCCGGGTGTGCTTCCCAAGATCACTGACTTTTGCCTTATGGCCTGTGTTTTGAGAGCCTGCAACTAACATTAAACAGCTCTGTGAATCCAAGACTCCCTTAAATTCCTTAGGTACTGATGTTTTAACAGCATCTTCTCACTCCTTTTAGTTCACCAAAAGTTAGAGTGCTGGGGAAAAGTGTGACCATACCCTCAGCTCCCCACAGGCCAATGGCTACAGCACAGTGCCTTGTCTTTATGGAAATTTCAGTTCTCCTTCCCTCCTGACTCCATACAGCCATTAAAAAGACAAGTGCAGGCATATCAGGAAGGCTGTCAGGCTTGAGTTAAGCACTGCATCTCCATGAATGCACTTGCATGTCAGCCTTGTTCTCTCCGAGTGCTTAGGGGAAAGCAGATGGCCTGGCTGATGGTCATTGGAGTGAGCAGCTTTGGCAGGGCCATGGCTGCTCTCCCCACCCACAGTGGCATGGCAGGGGCAAAGCTTGATTGGAACTGCACCAGCTCAAGCCACAGCTCACACATCAGGTGCAGATAACCTGGAGCCCCCAGGACAGGTATCCCATTCTCTGCTTTCAGTTTCTGCAAGCAGTAATTTCTGGCAGGGGTAATAACACTTTAAACTGCAGCCACCATATCTCCTGTAACACACCCTCCAGCACCTGAAGAGCAGACCCCTCCCGTCACTCCTCAGGGTAGAAAACAGGCTCCTGCCCTCATCCCTTCTCTTTATGTATCACTATCCACTTGGCTTCTGACTGCAGGTTTTCAGTCTATATTTAGGAACAGGAGAGTTCTGTGCCTGCCTCCTGCCACTATCTTTTGTGTGCTCTTTCCCTTTCGACACATGCTTGGGGAGGATGTCTGGTTGTCTTCTACTTACGACACATTGTCATGGTACACGTCTCACCACCGCACTCGCTGCACGCTGCTCCCGTCTTGTATGGTTGCACCGGGTAATTCCCACTGCGAAGGAAAACACCACTGCTCTCAAACAGCCCTTGGGAAGATGGCAATACCTACTGCTAATTAGGTTTTAACCTGAGTTCTGCTTCACTTGTGTTGATAGAATGATGGGTTTTTTCAAGAGTCCCGTCTGAGTGCCCTGTGCCCATCACATGCAGAGAAACAGAAGAGATTAGGTGTAATGGGACACCCTGTTTAGGAATTTGGAGACAGCAGCATTGCAAACCTGGGAATTAAAGCACTCTCAGAGTTGGGTAATTTGTGCATGGAGACTCTGGAACCTCACAGCTGGCTCTGGCTATGGAAGCAAGAGCAGGTTCAGTTACTGTGTATGTATGTGTGTATTCAGCCTTGAAGAGGAAAGCTCTGGTGTTGGAGAATCATAGGTGGTGATTTCACCCATTTGTTTTTAATATTTTGGGAGTGATGTAGGACTCTCTCCTGCTACCTCCCTCTGCCAGTGGTGTGAGTGGGACCAACTGCCTCTGCTCAGGCTGATACTGCACCAAACACAGCTTCAGTGCTTTGCTCAAAGTATGGCCAAAGCAAGACTTACAGCATGCCTCAAACTGCCCATGAACACAGAGAGGGGGATTTTGTAAGCATGAAATCGCAGCAGTGAGATGAAACTTCATGGTAAAACCTCATTACTTTCAGCAAGGCAAGGCTTTCATTGCTTGATCTAAGCTGAAGAGTACATTCACTTGAGGCAACTGTGTGTGAATCTTGCCTGGGCCCTTGGCAGAGCTGAAACAAAGCAATGAAGCTGCTGCTTCTCAAAATCAACAGCTGAATGTGACATTCCTCCACTTGTTAGCATTCAACTGACCATTTGTGGTGTCCTCACCCAGCAGGGAACGGGCCAGCTCTAAAGCCCTCTCTAGAGCACCTTGCCTCCAGAGAGTGCCCTGTCTGCTTTGCTGGGTGCTGGTGAAGGGACCACTCCTCTTCCTCATGCCACCACAGGGCAAGAAATCCAGTGGGATTTTGGCCCTCTGCACATTTGGGTGTGGGGCTTTTGGGGAAAGCAGCTGTGTCATTTCAAGATATTTAGTCAGGGGTACATATTCTTTCAAGGATGAGACGTGGGCAAAAGGAATGCCAAACTTGCTTGAGCTCAAGGGCAGCCTGGCTTTGGCCCAACATGGCTTGGCCAAAGGCTTTTAAAGCTGCATTTATACTGAGGTGGTATTAATTAGCTGGAGAAGAGAATAATACATCTATCCTAGGTGGATATCCTACTGACTATGCACATGAAGGACCTCTGGATCAAATTTTGTCTTGAGCAGCCTCAGCCTCCTAAGCAGCCCTCAACTGCTAAAACTGCAGGCTGCCAGCACTGCACACTTCAATGTTTATCCAAGTCATTGACTTAGGGCTTAATTCCTCAGGCACATGTGGGAATATCTTCAGACTTGGCAACTGTCAGGGGCCATCTTGGCACTTAGGAGCAAGGGATTAACTTTCAGATGATCATTTCAGTATTTTCATGTCAACATCTTATATTTAATCCATTCTTCCAGTCCAGCTGCTTTTTGTCTCCAATATACAGCCCTCATCTAGCAAATAAAAAACAGCTGGTTGGACAAAGGTGTACCTCTTCTCTATTTTGGATACTATTTCCTCCCACAAAAAAAAAAGGACTAAACGGACTGATCTAATAAATGTGCATGTTGTGGAAGGGAAGGGGTAGGACCCAAATACCCATAACAAAAAACCTTACGGCGGCCCATAGTTGCAGATGAAGTGTGCTGCGTTGCGTATGGAGATGTATTGCACCGTGGGACAGAAGTGCACAGCACAACCAACCTTGTAGCTTGTAGCCCAAACTACCTGCAAAGACAGATGGATACACTGGTGACAAGGCTTTGATTCAGCACCTGAAGAATTAGGAGAAGACATGTTCTCCCTTGTTTTATCACATACAAATGGAATGAGGAGGACTCGTTTGGCAGGCTTCACAGGGAAAAGCAGCAATAATGGATCTCATAAATCATAGTTTGTTCTGAAAAAAGACTGATTATTTTACCCAATTCACCATATATTTGTTAAAACTGTGCAGAAAGAAGACACAACTGGCTGTAACAGGTTGTTTTCCTTTCTTGCAAAGGAGAAAGGTGAAATTCACCTCCTTTGTTTCAACCTAATCCATTAGCATTCTATCTTTCTTGCTGGTGGGAGCTGAGTTCACACCTGTGCAGAAAAGACTGCATGATCTGCTACAGCTCTTATGAGGGCTGGCTGCCCCTTCACTAAATCCCATGGGGACATAAAGCAAATTTTCAGAAGGCACTGGTGCTTTGGGAGGAGGATTGTGTTTAGGCTGCACTCTTGCCTTTTAACATCATGGCAGTGATTAAGATAATCTAGGGGCAAGGCCATTACTTCACTTACTGATCCTCTCTCTACCAGAAGCTTTGCTTTTCTGTGGATCCTATCAGAATGTAGCCAAATGCTGCAGTCCTGAAAATTAAGTCGGCATGACGGCAGCAGAGGGGAGACAAGGGCACAGCAGTACTTGAGGGTGATAAAACAGCAGCACTGACTGACTATGTGGGAAATATGGAAGGATCCTGGTAACTTAGAACATAAATACATTTGTGCTTACTCTGACTTAAAGGGGAGGACTGGCCCTTTCTGTTTATAGTTGTTTAGTACCAGCTCTGGGAAGACGGGACAATCCTCAGGCTCCTGAGGGTTTTCTTAGTGCAGTGGCAGAGCAGAGGTTGCTCCTGGCACCAGCTGTAGATAACTTCTTTCCTGATGACTGTGAAGGACTGAATAAAAGGACCCTCCCTATCCCAGGAGGCCACTGGCTGAGCAGCGATTTGTGGTAACTGCAGTAATTGTGCCCAGGGAAAATTCTCTTCTCCACAGTTGGGAAGAAGAGGAATGATGAGTTCCCTGACAGGAAAGACCCAAGGATACCTCCTGAGGCTGTCACATATATATCTTCTAGCTACAATCGCTATCACTGCTAACTCCAAGTGAGAATAATCTTATTTTTTTATTCTACACCCATGAAATTGCATGCCCACTCCTCTACAAACACCATGGTCAACAGCACAGTGCTTTTAGTGTCAAGTAAAGTGTGCTGTGCAGTTTCCAGGTGTTGACTCTTGCAGTGCTCTTGAGAGCAAGATCAAAGAGCAGCACAGTCACCTCTCACAGCTCCTGCATCCAAATATCTTCTCTGCACACAAGTTCAGAAAGCCCACCAGCTTCACCTCATCTAGTCAAGTCCTAAAAGCACATGTGTATCTCTGCAAAAAATATTAAACAGCCTCAGGTCAAAATTTAAGCCTAGAATTGCTGTTGCAAGCTGTCCTGCTATCCTATAGCTGTGGGTAGTGACTGCAGGGTTGCATGGCAGCTGCAGTCCATTTCCTCCCTTTGCCTGCTTCCTTTGGGAACAGCAGTTGGACAAAGTGTGCACATGATGTTTGCAGACACCTCTTTTCATTATGGTACTTCTCCAGCCATTGGCATTTGAAGTCTGCCTGACAGAGCTGGGACCTCATTCTACTCATGCACTGCAGCTCACAGCCACTGCTGTTGTCTGTTTTTCAGCCACTGCTTGACTAATCTGACTGCTTGATAGCTGCACTGTTTTCTTCCAAAAAAACCCCACAAACTGCCACATTTTAAGTAATAACACAATGACTCTTTTCCTCCCATAATTTGGAACGTAAGAACATCTTGTGCACACAGACATATAGTAAGACTACAGAACCTGGAAAGATTCACTGAATCTTCAACAGAAATGTAGAGGTTTTGTATCAAAATGGCAAAGCTGGTTCATGGTTTAGATGGAGAAATGCAATGCCTACCTGTGTATAGTGGCCACATACTCTAGAGCACTTATTGGTTTCATAATCGTAGAATTCGACCTCACTGTACCAAGCAGAGAGGGCTCCTTTCACGTTAAAGGCAGAAGCTGAGCCAGTCCAGATGTTTTCTCCAGCAAAGGCAAATTTGGGGTGAACTTTCCCTCGCTCTTTGAGGTATATATTATGTTTAAATAAGCATTTCTTTGCCCAAGCTTTTGCAGTCTTTGCCAAATCTGGATCCCAACTCTGCAAAATAAAGACAATTAAAAATCACTTTGTTATACTGGCAGTGCAGTAATTCAGAGCAGCTCTCAGGAAAAGCTGTGTCTCAATTGTGTAGATGTTTTTGGTTCATTCATTTTTTACTTCTGTGGAGACTTACAGAGCTACATGGTAAATCAGCTTGTAGATTTGTTTCTGATTTGAACTTAAATTGCTGATTAAGCTTGAAGAAATTTTTTTTGGGTGGTGAATGACCTTGGCTGACTGGCTTGTTGGACACCAAGAGCTGTACCTCAGCCAAATACAGTGTTTGTGGCACAATGAGCATTTCAAGGCTGTGCTGGCCATGACAACATTAATGTAAATTAAAATGAATTTACATGGAATCTGGAAAATGAGGGTTATGCCTACCATATCAATAATGCAAAAGTCTTGTGTAGCCTCATATTTGCTTAAGGCCATGGCTGGCAGGTCAGTTCACAAGCACACTGTGATGTTGGGGACAGTTTAAACTCAACCCTTTGGTGAGCATCATTGTGTTTGGTGGCTTGAAACCTGAGTGCTGAATTCATATTTGTGGAATGACTCATTCACTTGCTATTCAGTTTTAGAGAAAGTGGCTATTTAACCAACTGAGTTATGTAAATGTCTTTTGTTTGCACTGGAGGTGGTGTCTGCTCTGGCTGGGTTTTCTTGTGCCCACACCTTGAGTAATTACAACATTGTACCTCCTGGTAGATACAGTACCACAAATGTATGCTTGTAGTCCTAGCTATACTTTGTGTTATGTAAATGAAGTTGTCCAGCACTGAACTAGCTTGTACTGAAGTTTTTTTTTAAAAAATAAACTTTTTATTTTTCCTCTTCTGAATTAATTAAAATAGCTTACTTGCTTCTGCAAATGATTGAAATGCTAAGGAAATAGTTTTGAATGGATCAAAAATTATGAAGGAAAAGGTGCATTTTAAAATCTACCTTTTTGTAGATTTTTGGTAGAATCTAACAAAGGTAGGTTGTTGGATTTTATGTCTATGTTTTACCTAAGTAACTTTTTTTGTACCATCGCTAAGTCTGAAACAATGTGTATTGTTTACACTACCAATTGGTAATTAAAAACCACAAGACCATGCCAAAATGCATCTATGGAGATTTACAAATATTTTTAAACCTATGTCTTACATTTCTTCCTTTGCCTAATGTTTGTGGAGGGTGTATTTTCCCAATGTGGTGGGGTGGACACTGGCTAGGTGCCCACCAAAGCCACTCTATCACTGCCCTCCTCACCTGGGGAGGGGAGAGAAAATGCAACCAAAGGGTCCCTGGATTGAGATAAGACAGAGAGAGATCATCCATCAGTTACTGTCATGGGCAAAACAGATTCAGCTTGGGGAAATTAATTGTATTTATTACAATTTTAAACATCTTCCCCGCACCTCTTCTTTCTCCCAGGACATAACTTCAGTCCTGATTTTCCACTTCCCCCCCAGCAGCACAAGGGGACATGAATTGGGGGTTATGCTCTGCTCATCAAACACTCCCTCCTGCTCCCTCCTCCTCAGGGGGAGGACTCTTCACACACTTCTCCAGCTCCTGTGTGGGGTCCCTCCAACAGGAGACAGTCTCCACAAACTTTCCAAATGTAAGTCCTTCCCAGGGTTTCAGCTCTTCTGCTCCAGCATGGTCCCTCCCTCAGGGTGCAGTCCTTCAGGAGCACACTGCTCCAGAGTGGGCTCTCCATGGGGTCACCAGTCCTGCCAGCAAACCTGCTCACTGCGGGCTCCTCTCTCCATGGGGCCACAGCTCCTGCCAGGCCCCTGCTCCAGCACAGGTTTCCCACAGGGTCACAGCCCCCTTCAGGCCTCCAGCTGCCCCAGTGTGGGCCCTCCCCAGGCTGCAGGTGGATCTCTGTTCCTCCATGAACTGCAGGGTCCCATCCTGCCTCACCCTGGGCCGCACCACGGGCTGCAGGGGAATCTCTGCTCCAGTGCCTGGGGTGCTTCCTCCCACCCCTTCTGCCCTGGCCTTGGTGTCTGCAGAGCTGCTCCTTTCACGTGTTCTTACTCTTCTCTGCCTGCAATTGCTTGTGCACAGCCTTTCCCTTCTTGAATGGAATATCCTAGAGGCACTGCCACTGTGGCTGAAGGATTTGGCCTTGGCCACAAGGGAAATTGCTCTGTGGGACATTCAGGAAGCTTCTGGCAGCTTCTCAGAGAAGCCACCCCAGTATGACCTCTCTGCTTTCAAAACCTGTTTGTGCACACCAAATGCACCCACAAAGCTAGGACATAAATAATGTAGATAGGAACTCAGTATATCAAGTATGAAATTTGGGGCAGGGAGTCTTATTTCAAGTAAGCAGTTGGTATTTCCTTAGATACTTTTAAGGACAATGGATAAAATCTGGCATTGTACAGAACTTATCTTCCAGTCCTGGAAGATAACTCAGACAGTTAAGACAGATGCTTCATTTCACATCTTGTCAAGGCATCTGAGATGGCCATTATAAAAGAAGTACAACAGTGGGGGATGCACCTTTGCATTTAATGGTCTCTTTTTTCCACATTCTGCTTTTTAAGAGTCCATGCACCTCCTCTCCACATCCTATAGTAGTAATACGTTTAAACTTTGATAAAGTTATGAATAATACTAAGTTTAAAGTTGCATAGTAAGTTTAAATATACTTTCCATTTTGTGTGAATGCTTAATCTGGCTGACAGATGAAAAGCAGTGTACAGAATTGTTCACAATGATTTTTAGTTTAACTGCAGTTACACTCCTTATTTGCTTATAATACTGCACTTAAACAGAAAGATAGGACTGAATGGCAAGCATAGAAAATGCACAGGACAGGGAAAATTGCATATATATATATCACTGCTGTTTAAGGAAACAATACTTACCGTTTTTTCCCCCTCATTAACTACTTCCCTGTTTTCATTTTATAACAAGTTGCTTGCTGACTTTAGGAGGAAAAAATTAATGCATATTATGTGAAAAATGATGTAAGGCAGCACTAATTCAAAGGAGACTGTTATGAAGTCCTGATGAAACTGGTGAGACTGCTTTTGAGGAGCCTTAGAACAGAACTAAGTAGTGCTTTGGGTGGATGAGAAAGGGCTCACATTTGTCAGGTAAAAAAATTTTAGATCAATGTTCTCATTTTATAATACATGTATTACAAATGCCAATGGTTGAGCTTTGTTACTTGCAATTAAAGGAGTTTCTATTTTGCATTTTCTTTTAAAAACTACTTTTCCAAAATATGAGAATGCCCTGAATTCAATCTTAATTTTTACAGATCTTGGTGGACAGTTACATCCAGCAAAAAAGAAGCTCCTGTGAAATAAAAGCACCATCTTATTTTCTGCCTTTTTGAAGTGCAAAGGGCCACTCAAAATACTCTTTTCAGTTCTAATGCTTTTAGTTTTGTAATAGATTTTATCATGTATTGCACTGCTATCTCCACATTAAATAGTTCCTGGAAGAGGTCATATTTAAGACTAGGGATTTTGTAGTATTTTCAAAGAAACTTGCCATGATTCAGTTTCTGGTTTAGATGCAATTTATTTGTCTCTTTCTTATGCTTCCTTTTTTTTTTTTTTTTCAGATTTCAGTTCTTTACTTTTTCAAAAGAAGAAATTAAGCACAATTTAAAAATACAAACACTGCACTTTTAACACATCCTAACAATATTTTGTTTGTTTAGGGCCAGTAAAGCAATGTAGAAAATAGAGAGTCCAAGGAACATGTTCTGAAGGCCAGGATGCGCAGCTGAGGAGAGCTGATCTAAAAGATGCATCTAGAAGCGAAACTAAATATGTTTCCTGTCATGTTTGCAATTCAAGTTTTATTACTGGGCGGTTACGCCTCCTAAGTGGGGCACTTACCTTTTAGTGTCTGACAACCAGACACGGAAAATGAACTCGGTGCTTTCTGGCTTTCCCTGCAGGCCCAGCCCCTCGGAGCTGCCGCCCTGCTGGCTCAGTCGGTGAGAGCCCTGCAGGGAATGCCCAGGGAAAGATCTCCGGCGCTGTTTGGCAACAGGATCTGCCCTCGCCGACTGGAGCAGGAAAGTTGTGCTCAGATGTGCACAAACCCCGCAGCCCCGGCTGCCGAGCTGCGTGTGGCGCCTCGCAACCAGAGGCTCCTCACACAACCCAGCACAGCAACCCCGCTGGGCCGAGGGGCGGGCAGCTGCGGCTGCGGGGGAGCAATTGCAGTCACCCCTAAGCCGCACATATCCCAGCCGATAATTACAGCCTTCTTCTCTGCTTTGAAAAGCGGTCAGTCTTATGACCCCAGGTTTTTTGGGGTAGTTTTCTGATTTTTTGCATTTGATAACGAAAGCAATCTTTGAGAATCATAAACAGCATCACAATGCTACAAATTTGTATGTAAGTCATGAAGATTCCCTTACCATCCAGAGCATGTTGCTGGCTGGTGGATCCACTCTGGATCGCAATGTGTTGTGGGTTTCCACACATAGCTTAATAAACTCTGGATCCCGAGGATCAGGCAATGTCGACGGATCAAAAGAATCAGAGGAACAACAAAAGAGTAGTAAAGCCAGCGCACAGGTAGAAAATCTGCCTGTCATTGAGAAAGGGAGAAGGAGAGAGATGGTGCAAGCAGAAAGTCACCACGGTGGATCTAAGGGCATCCCTAGACGTCCCGAGATGTGGTGCTGAAAGCCGGCAGGCTGTGCGCCCGGTTGCCGGTATTTATAGAGCCCTCGTGAGCCTGAGGGCGGCTGGGCGTGGCCTGGCCCTCAGCGCGGCCGCTGCGCACGCCGGGGGTGGCGGGGCGCGGGCCGCGGCTGCTGCGGGCCGGACGGGGCGAACCCCGCAAAGTTCGGTGTCCTTTGGAGAGCCCGCCGCCTGTGCCTGTGCTGTCTCTCACTCTGTACAACACACTGCAATGGAACGCCGCCGGGAAAAAGCATCGGTGTCGGTCCTGCCCCCGCAGGGCCGGCGCCCAAAGTCGGTTCATCTCTGCGGTTTGTGCACAGGCATCAAGGAAGTTTTCTTCAACCAGTTCCGTCACCGAGCACTTGCTTAAGGCATGCACTGCAAATGTCATTAGTCCTTTCCTTGCAGTCATGCTTCTCAACGTCTGGTCTTCCAGCTTTAAAAGCAGACTGTTTCAGCTGAACGAAGTGGTTTTAGCTCAACCAGCAGCATTTTGCTCGGAAGATTTGTGGGCTGGACTTACCTTAGCCATGGTAATTGAATACAAAGCTAGTCACAGGAAACGAGTCATATTTCAAAAACACTGCTATGAGAATAAGGAAATTGAACTACAAGATCACATTAGAGCTGTAGCAGCCTTGTGCCTTTCTTTTTTTCTTCTTTCTTTAATTGTGGTGGGCAAATGTCTCTCCTGTCCTTTAGGCTTCTTTGTTACTATTTGTTTGGCCCCTGTAATTCTATTCATAGCAATCACTATGTATTGCAGAAAAGTTTTGGATAAATTTTCTTCTTTTGATGAAACTAGGTGCTGTTAACACTGTTTCTTTTTCTCTTTCTTTTCCTAATATGTTTTCTTCCTTTCCACTACAACCAAACTGTTATAAAATAAAGCTGCCTTATTTGTTTATTTATTTAATTTATATACTAGTAATTCAGTGTCATTTCACTCTAATCCACATTTATTTATTTATCTATCTATTTATTTACTGGTCATTCAGTGTCATTTCACTCTAATCCACCCCAAGGGATCTATTAACAAGAGCCTCAGTTGGGGCCCATTTTTATTCTGTGGGATGGCATGCCACAATGGGGCTCAGAATTTGAGTCTGTGTTCTTAAAACATTAGAACAAAGACAAAAGAGCAAAAAACAGCTTTAAATACTGATAGCACAGTTATGCATTGCTAATATCAGTCAGTATCTCCTGGCTTGAAAGATTCCACTCTTATATAAGATAACAAACTTATACTGGAAGAGTGGGGGTCAGGTTGAGGGCTAAGTGTCTAATAAAACAAACTGAATCCATCAGAGGCTTGGGCTTTTTAAATGAGGCTGAGATGTTCCATTCCTAAACCAGAATCTGTCCTGTGCCCATTTCATCTTCTGTCTGTTTCCTGCTACCCAAAAAGTCACAATGGCTGCCATCTGCTCTCATTTTAGATATTTTTACTATCTCACATCCTAAAATTAAGGTTTCCCCATTGACACCCCACCTTAATCCTTACTCTGGCAACTTTCCCTTGTATTCTTCTTATGGAGAACAAGGATTAATCCTGAGAGGAGAAGAATGGACTAGTACAACTGACAATAGAGTAATGGACACTGAAACACATAGGCTAAATAAAGCAAAGGGCAAGCTTTACTCTTGTTAATAAAAAGTAATTTATACAGTTAATTCTCCATTACTTGGGGGAAATTGTGTCTGGGATAACTGAAGGTTAATGAAGATGAATTACTGCTTCTTTTGGATACAGTGTGCCACTTCAGACATGTCTTTGTGATGCCCCAGGCTTCCAGGAGGATTGTTAGCACATGGAAGAATATCTAGTCTCTGTGGTCCCTCTAACAGCTACCCCTAGAGCTAAGAGCCTCATACAGACATAGGAGCATGTTGCAGCTACTGCCAATAAATTATATTACCTCTATGCACAGCCATTTTTATCTTGCCTTGAGTAAAGAAGCACCCTTTCCCATGCTGGATTGCAGGGATAATGAAAGATGATCAAATGTGTTTTTTATTTAAACACGTGCCCAATGTGTGAGAGTAATACAACAGTAGGATCACAATCAGTCTCTTAATTGGCCATTACTTGTAAAAAAAAGTGTGTGGAAATTGCTGTTGTACTAGAAGTACAGCACCAACACTCAATACAAGAAACAGTGGCCTTAAAATTAAAACACTAAGGCAGTATTGGTCACAAGAGGGCTGTGGATGCTCAGCAGGTGGGACGTGTGATGGCATGGGAGGCCTGGGGGGACGGGGCTGCGGTGGCTGGGGCTGTGTATCCCAGTCTGGATACCAGCTGGCATAACCTAAAAGGCAGTGAAGAAACAGGTGTTAAGACCTAGTCTTAGCCATACTTACAGGAAAGCCATTAAGAACAATTTGATACGTACTTATCAACTTCTCACGTTCCATATTTTCTGCAAAGAGATCAGAAGAGGAAAGTAATGTGAGTACCATGGAATGGTGGTTCTTGATGTAAAGAGGCAAGCCTTTGCACTGATGATGCCAGTTAATGCCTAGAACATCCTGCAAGGGGGAAGCAGGCCAGCAAGAGCAGGCTCCTAACTGGTGTGGAGTTCATATTTTTTATTGAAATTGAAAAAGAAACAGAAAAAAACATCTGTATGAGGAAGCATTTGTGTTATGGAGATGAGGGAATAAAAAATAACAACAAAACATGGAATTTATTTAAAATAGTTACATATATCAAATTTAAGTAGTTATAGACAGACAAATATAACTACTTATTTATCACAGAATTATGCCTTTACTAAAATTTTGATGTATTTGCAGGATTGCCTATGTGCATCCTATTGAAATTCCTCATTTGCTCTATAGGAGAAAATGGTAAAAGCAGGTGGTAGGATCTAGCACTTAACTTTTAAATTCTCTGTTCCTCCTGTCCCTGTTCCCCCTAGTCATTGAGATATTTCTAGTTTTTCTGTGATGTGTCAGTCTGAGACTTGCAGATGAGTCAGCCAGGATATTACAGTAGGAAATAAGAGCACCAAATGCTCAATAATTTCTGCGGCTGAATCTGTCTAGAGCCTGGCCTTCCAAGCTCTGTTACAACTGTTCATTTAATTATTTTCCACCAGCACACTGATAACACTGAGCATAGTAGGAGGAAGATTTACAAACAAGCTCTTACTGCTGTTTTTCAGAAAACTGTGGAAGTTGGAAATAACTGGTTTTTGGTACAGTCTTATTATTAGCTCTGAAATACAGTTGTCTGGAAAATGTGTTAGGACACACTAACAAGCAAAAAAGCAGAAGATACATTTCCTGTTTGTGCTGAGAGAGAAGAAATAGTGAATATTTCTTGGGGCTAAAACTTTGCATTTTACTTACTGACCAGATAAAAGGGAGAAAATAGTCTAACTGATACTTCCCTGAATCAGAAACTCTGGCTTCTTCCTCTGAAAGCCTTCAAATGCAAATTATTTCAATGATTTCCTTCTTACAGTATTCCTCCCAGAGTTTGGTACTGTTGTTGTATAGTGTGCTACAGACCCACTATGTGCTTAGTGCAAATTGACTCGTTGTTGTCTTTCCACTGCTATTTATGCCACTTTTGTTTCTGTGCAATTTTCTCACATGATCACTTTGGTCTTACCACAGAGCCTGTCTACACACTTCTCGTTACTGCATCTACTGCATGGTTGTCCTTCTTTATATGGTTTTCTTGGGTAATTCCCCCTGCAAAACAGGAACAGGAACAGTATTTTTTTAGCTGTCATTAAAAAGCTGTCAAGGGGAGGGAATACCCTAATCAAAAAACTGGTCATTGCAATTGTTTGAAATTCCTTTTAAATCACATTAGAGCTCTCACTGGCATGGGGAGCAGTTGACTAGTGCCACTGGAAATGAATGAGACTTCTCAGGCAATACTGTTTTATTGTAAGCATACAAGAATTTGACTCTAGCCATCATTACCCACCTGATTATAAAAAACAAACCTGTAAAAAGTAAGTAGAAATACTGCAAGGTACCAGATCAACTACGGGACTGTCTTCCTTTTACTTCTGAAGCAGGAAGATTACATCTTTCCCAATTTTCCTGCAGAGACCGAAATCATAACATATTTTCTTCCACCATCTGCATTATGGTGAGTGGTGTCAGCTATGATCTGCTCTTCTGCCTTTTTTTTTAGAATGGGATTTTCTGCAGTACCAGCTATGTTCAGTAGTTGTAGTTTCTGTTCCCAATGGTCAGGGGAAGTTTCCCTTGGACAAGTGACATGAGGATGTAGCTTATTTTGAAATTTGTTAAAACTGCACCTATCATTGTTGGCATCTGATCAAATATCAGTTGGAATATTTAAAGAAAAAAAAAAACAAAACCCAAACAAAACAAAACCCAAATGCCACAATCAACTTACGCTGGCCCATAGTTACAAACAAAATGTGCTGCTTTGAACAGTCCTGGAAAATTTTCAACTGTACTGCAGAAGTGAACTGCACAGCCAACTTTGTAGCTCTCTGCCCAGACCACCTGCAGGACGAAGGGATGTACAAAATGCACTTCAAATACTGCCAAAGCAACAGCATTAAGAGAAGAAGGAGAAGGGAGGTACCTCAGGGAAATTTAAATCAGCTGACACAGGAGCAACTTAACCTGAAGGGCAGCTGGGACAAATGAAAAATTGACAGCCATTTTTTCACTTATTATCTGGCTACCCTTTAAATGTGAAATTGCCTGGGGATAATCCCTTTCCACCATTACTGGAAGTAGAACTTGAGATCCCTGGGACTCATATTTATTTCCAATCTCATGAAACAATAAACTGTGGGCTGCAAAGTCCTGCTGTAATTCCTGTCCCAAAGCAATCTGTTCCAAGCCTGTGCTCAGATCTTCAGTGAAATTAGACTATATCTATATATTAGAATATATGTTAGACTATAAAGCACTGGGTATGAGAGACTCACCTGAGTGTAGTGACCACACATGTCAGTACATCTGTTGGTGCTGAAATCATAGCTGCTGACTTCATTAAACCAGGACGTGAGGGCTGCCCCCACAGAGA